ATGCCTGTAATGCTCGTACTCATCTCAACCTAACCTACTTACTGTCTTTCCACAAACTCTCATCTTTGTCCCAATTTTCAACTCGCCTCCTCTTCGAAAAACTTCCAAATATTCCACTTTCCCCTTTTTCAGATCCTCTGACTTGCACACTTACTTCTTTCTCAGAAACTTCAGCATTTTTCAGCTACCACTTCTGCCTTTCATGTGTTTTTATTCTATGCATTTCTCACTCTTCCAGCTTATTTTCTGTTGTGTGTGAAGTTTTTAAAGGCTTTAGCTCATTTGATTCCCTCTACTACTTCAGCAGAATCCCCCCCACCTGCCCTTGTTGTGCCTCTTCTTCTCCTTTCAAATGATCTAATCTGTCCTACTTTCTTTTCCGTTAACCTCCTTTCACTTTCACATACCTCTGCATCATCTCCTGCTATTTTACGTCTTCCCTCATCCTCTCTAACAACTCTCACATTTTTTTCCTCTCTCAATAATATTTTGACTTTCTCTCATTAAACCAAAACAAACCCAGTCTTTTTTTCCTTACAAATCCCCCTATGCTGATTTCTTATCTTCCTCCCACATTGTTTTCCTTTAGGTTCTCTTGCTTCACCTCTTTCTTTCTCAAAAACCTTGAATGATTTTGTTCTCCACCCATAATTGAGCTTTCTTTGCTGAACATTTTCACGGATCCTTCTTTTATTTCCCTGTCTCTACAGAGCTTTTGACACATCGCCACATTTCTCTCTCTCTCACTACTTGTCTTCCTTCTCTCTGTGGTCATTAGCAGCTTTGCCAAAAGGCAAACAGAGTGTAGCAGCAATATGCAGTACATCAATGTCCTACTTAACTGGCCTGCTTTTAGATCCAAGTCCTTCTATCTAGGCCAGGGTCCAGTGTGAGGCTCAACAGGTCCTTTGGTGTTCCACTGGCTGAGAAAAAGCACCAGCAGAAAGCCTGAGCTGTAAAATGTCTAACATTGTGTGGAAGACATGGTTCGCACAGATGCTGGTTATTGCTGTTGGGTCACTTTGAAAAGAAAAATATTCTAAAGTTTGCTTAATGTTTATGGCACCATCTGAAAAATTAGAAACTGACGAATATAATACAATTAACAGGTTGTGACCACTCTGACAGGCTTTAAGCTAAATGCTCGTGTAAACATGTAGAATCCTAATGTTAACTGGTAATGTTTTAGTGGTCCTCAGTCATCTTTTAAGCCCAACAATCAGCAGCTCATTCAACATGCTACAAACAGACTCACAACAAAAGGAGAGAACACGTTAAAACTTCAATGATTGCCAGCTACAGAACATAAAGCTGGTCTTCTGACTTCCTACAAGCATGAATACAAAAACTGTTTAGTCACATAGTTGGTCTAAAGGTGCTATCACATAGCACATCGCTCTGAAACCAGTTCTTCTCAGTGGATGGTGTCATACAGTGATGCACCAAGCAAAGCACAGAAATTGGGAGCTCTGGTAGATGATGAGGACAAAGTTTGACAGACGCGCAGTTGATGTGGCTCAATTGAACTCCCATTGAAGCCAGCACGTCCTGTGTGGAAGTCCCATGATGTATACCACATTTTAGCATCACTTATATTTGAACTTGAACCATAACGCACCAATATCAAGATGTATTCACCGACATTTAGAATTAGCATCTCAGACCATGTTTCTACATCCTGTGAATCATTTTGCCACCATGTGGGTTGTTCAACCCCGACCTTGAAATCTGCTACTGCTCTGAATCATCTGGACATCATCTCACTTCCACCAGTCAGGATGAGACTTGTCACTAGGCTTGACTGTGATGAGTCAGTTTGCGCAGGAAACTGCGTAACGTTTGACTGAGTTCCCCCATCCAGCTGCCTCTTGGGTAAAAAGCAGGCCTGCTAAGGGTTCATGGGATTAATACCCAGAATCTGTCTGCAAATGTGAAATCTCAGGATCGTGAGACGTTTCCTGTTTGCTCTTGGATGGCATCTGCTTTTCTATCGCTCACTTCCATCCGTGTGTGTGTGTGTTGTGTTCTCACCCAGGCGGCTGCCATGGCGCGGCATCACCATGAAAGACCCCAGAGTGCCTCCGATGACGCTGTGTGGCCGGCGCAGGGGCGGCTTCTTGAAGGAACCGGTGTACTGGTGCAGAAAGGAGTGCATGCTGTGGGAGGTGGGTGGGCGGCCATTCCTCATGAAGGGCTCTGAAACACAACAAAGCTAGTGTCAGGATGTCTGATTTCATGACACCCAGATGCTCCACAGTGGAATCACAAATCCTCGGGTGCACGCACGGAGC